CAGCATACTAAGTTACACTAGATGCTGAACTCTTTGTCTGTCATCAGCAAATGTCAATACACGTGTAGCTGACAGCAAGATAAATTGCACAGTGCAGAAAGGTACAAGAAAAATGTTGGAAAGTTTTAAATCTTCTACAGATTTTGTTCTGAGAGAAAGAGGGCCTACAGTTGCTGTGAAGTCCGTGAAAGACTTTGCAATACCTTTTGATTCCATCTGGAACATTCTTAGCCATTAATGATGAACATTCATGCAGATACTAAGGAAAGGATGGCATCTTCCACTTCTTTGAAAGAACAAAACAAAACAACACTCCTATTTATGTTTTCCATTCCAGAAAAAGAAGTGAGAACAAGCACCATATTACACAGGAAGGTGAATGCCAAAATAGTTGTGTGTGTATAATTATAAAGCTCTATAGTCACAGCTGTGCCATAGTCACGTCTCAAAATTTGAGTGCATATTTTTGGTCTAAATTTATTTCTTGCTCAGTGAATTACTAATATAAGACCGTTGCTTCAGCCCTCAGTCTATTTACTGAATTTGTATTGCCATCAAGTGGTAGTTGTGCTGGAATAGATTAAGAAAAATGCACATCTAGCTGTAACAAATAGCTGGTTATAGCAGTACTTTAAATAAGGGTATAAACACATAAAACTGGGCATAAAAATCTGTTGATTCTAACTGGAATGTCAATAACTGTTGCTTTCAAAGTGAAAGATATACTCTGCCTAAACTTTACCAGGACATAACTAAAGGGCTACCATAAGGCCGAAACTGGGCATGGCATTAGCATTTTCTAGGTTTAAAATTTTGACTTCACAACTTGTGTGACCTTGATTTGATCCTCTAAGAACTGTTTACATAGCATCTCAGCTCAGTTCAGCAAGCTTTAGGAGGTTAGCTTTGTGGTATCTAAAATCAGAAAGTGTTTTCTGCAGAAGGTTGAAGATAGGTTTCTGTTATGAGAATCATCAGTTTGTAATGTTAATGCCTAAAAAAGCTCTCTAAAAATTGTAAGAGTATGTAGAAATCAGTTTGGCTGGAACACTGCTTTTTACTACAGAACTGCCATGACCACCTCATTCAGAAGGCATCTAGTCAAAGGAGCTTATGTGAGCCTGTCAGTCCTAACAGCCTCTTCTGGCCACGGGCAATACATCCCATTTCTCTTAGCTGTGTATGGATGCAGGTTAAACAGCTCTACATCAGAACCCTAAGGCCTTTAAAAAGGGCTGTATTTTTTAAAAAAGCTATTTACATGGGCTTTCATGAGGAACATAAATGACAGAAAAAGTTTGGGATAAAAAGCTCACTCTTTTAACTTAGGCTTTGTTATTGTCTTTAGCCTTCACCCTTGATTGTATGCAACAGAAGCCATTAAAATATGTAAGCTAGGTAAGAATCTGAAATAAGTGTGTGCCATCACTTGCACTGTAATACATGAATCAATGTGAAATAATACACACATTTGTAAACTATTAGGACAAAAGCTGAAAATCAGGACTTTTATCTTGAGCAAACACAAGAGATCCTTTCAAGAAGTAGTTACTGTTTTGCACCCTTGGTTGCAGATTCTTTTTGAAAGGTTGAGAAGGAGATCTATTCCAAAATCAGTTTTCTTGCCAGACTTTTTTTATCAATTTTTTTTAAAACCAGTTATCAGCCGTAGCTTGTTAAACAAGTTAAATGATGTCCTATCCAAGAGGAAGAGGGGAAAAAAAAAAAAAAAAAAAGAGTTCAAAAGCAGTGTTTGCAAAAGCAGTTTAGTCTCTTCACTGGAGGCCAAACATGTCACATTCCTCCAGGTGCCAGTTCACTGCGATGAGCTCAGGGTCTCCTTGCCCTTTGTTATTTCAATTTCTGCCTTTTCTCACCTTGTGATATTATACGACCAGGATATATCATAAGCAAATTTTGGCTCACATACATATATCACCCCTTCAAAATAGATGCCTACAGGAACACACTCTACAAACTTTGGAATTTTGTAGCTTTAATGGGTGGTATTTAGAGGAGAGGCATGAGATTAGAATTAAATAATTTATAATCTTGTTATTTAATGTGTAGCATAATAGCCTTAGCAATGTAAAAAAGCAGTTAAGTTCCCCTTCATATTAGCATACCCTACTTTCATGAGGTTTAAGGAAGAGGTAATAGTCCCAAATTTGAGTGTTAGGCAGCAATCTAATTTCTAAATTTAAAGTTTTGTTTATGAAATAAACATTTCTCCATTAAACACCTATTCCACAAAACTTTCGTATTGCACTCCTTTAAATAGCCATACATGGCCCTGTGGTTCCTGCCTTATTTCCTATTTAAACTTCTTAAATTTACTTTTACACATTTCAGAATTCCTCTCAAACACTTTACATTTTCTCTGATCGATGACATCTCTTGTCTGAATTTATTTGAGCTAAATATCTGTTTCCTGGAACAACTGTTTGCCCAAAACAGTGATATCATCAGTGACACAACCATTCTGAAACAGCTTTAGAGAGACTTAGATGCTTCACATTCTTAACCTATTTTATTGCAACTTCATGCACAATCAGAGACTTCATAAAATCTCTAATTTACAATCTCACTGGTAAATAGTGAAGTACAGCTGTTCAAGCTACTTACCTGCAGCCAGCTTTGGTTACTTCAACTGGCTAGCCTATGCTAGCCTATTGCATTATGTTTGAGATGATAAATGCAAGTTTCTGCATGCTAACACTTGTACTTAGGCTGAAAGTGGCAGAAATGAGGTAACAAAGAAAGTCACTTTTTAAAAATAAAACAGAACTTTTATTCAAGATGAAACTTCTATTATTGTAATAGTAAGATTTTTAATGTAGGTTATTTCTTATGCTTTTAAATTATTCAAACTTTGGGAGAAAATACTTGTTAAATAGATGAACCAACAATCAGGACAAACTATTTTCTTTTAAACACTTTTCCTTAGTTTAAGCAGGACATACTACTAATTTCAATTCAGATTTTGCATCTCCAGAGTGTAAATGCTTTTTCTACATTGCTGCTCCACTGTCCAGGTTAACTTTCCATATTGCTTATGAACCTTTTTTTTTAAAAAAAAAGATACCCTATGTTCTACAAATGTTACAACAGAAAAAGGCAAGCGCTTGCAGTAGCTAATAAAAGCAGTTAATCCTTTAAAACTTGTGTGGTTTATATGTAAACAGATACTACTTGTCTGGCTGTTAAAATAAAAAAAGACATAACAGCTCAACTATTATCTTTGAAGTGTCAAAGTTTGAAAAAGTCATTGAACTTCCAGCTTCAGTGAGATCTTAACATTTGTTGAAGGCAAGTGATCAAAAATGGTTGTATTTCTTTTTGATTTTTCATGTTTAGCTGAACTACTGAAGACTTATCCCTGTGCAAGACATCCAAAAGCATGTACAATTTAGAAATAATCAGACATTTTATCACAGTAATCAATTGCACAAATACAAGTGAGGCTGGTTAGACACCAATTTCAAAGATTTAGATGTATAAGCACAAGCTAGCAGTGACACATCATTGTAACAAGCATTACATAAAAAGATGGCAATGGAAAGTCAGTCTTCACCACATGAAGTAGCTTGCTTTGTTCTCAGGTGGAGTTCTGTACCCCACTTTAAAAACAGGCTTCATGAAAGATAAATATTATTTGGAAAGTTTGCTCCATTGAGCAACACAAGGATTATCGTTTCTACAATCTGATTAGAAAAGATTTCCTTCACATAAGGAAAGTTTTAAAAGATTTGAAAGGTATCAAAGGCTACTGAAAAGAAGAAGAAAAGCTTCTGAATTTGTGTTGGTTAGGACAAGAATTAATCTGTTTCACTTGCACCATGGCATGGAAGATTTAAATTGGACTGAAGTTCAACACCCTTCTCAGGAAAATTAAGTAGTCCTTCACCCTCAACAACAACCCCGCCGCCCAGAAAAAAAGGGGCAAAAAAGCAGCTCTCAAATGACACAATTAATTCTGAAGTATTTACATAGACTGAAGGACCATTTACAGAAGCTTTTAAACCTGTTTCATCTCACACATTTTTGACAAGAAGCAACAATACTCTCCATTACTTTCTTTAAAAACTTATTTTCATTCAATACTTTATGAAGCTATGGTCATATCTTCATTATTTAATCTTCCTTCTTATCTATAATACATGCTCCAAAGATTTGAAGAATTCTGTTTCTGCTTTATTTCACATTTCATAGCTTAGGATATTCTATTTAGTTTTCCCCTTGCTTCATCAAATAGTGGTAAGACAAGCAAATGTAAACTGAGTTTTAACCACCTAAAAGGTATGATTTTATTATGTATTACATACGGATTGTGGGGAAAAAAAGCTCAGTAGCAAGTCGAATGAAATGTTAAGACCTGGATTTAAAATATGTAATTAAGAAGACTGCAGACTCATGTTATTAACTTAAGGGCCATTCTTGTCTTTGTTTTCCAAATCTAAGCAAGGGTACACTTTCAACTATGGTAACATTCTAAGTGTACAGTCCATTGCTGTTTCATTTTAAGCTCTGAGGAAATAAAGCATGAAATAGTATTTTTAAAAGTATATTGACTTTTTATTCACTTTTATTAAATACATGTTTACATTTATGAAAATGTCTACCAATTTAACATACTAATTTAGTTTAAGTTATCCATTCTATAAATCATATATGCTTTAAAGTAGGCCATGCTGACAAACTGCAGTGACATTAATATGAAAAAAAAGGTCTATTTTTTTATTAGAAGTATAACAGTATATCACAATATATTGCAAGCTAGATGTTTCTTTCAAAATAGTATACAGCATACAAGCAGTGTTTAATTTTTATAGGACTCTGTCAAACTACTCTTTCCAAATCTGCAGGTTTTTACACTATTGGAGCTATTTTACTAATTAACCAGTGAACAAGGAAAAAGACAAAACAAAAACAAAACAGAAAACTAGGAAAGTTGTATGCACTTAAGACACCCTGAGGAGCAGATAACTAGAACATCACCATCAAGGAATAACCTGCATACCTGGCCCATTTTTTGCCCATTGGAAAAAGCCACACTGTTTTTCCTTCCCAAGAGGGCACACAAAGAAGTTCTTTCCATTATTGGGCCCCATCTTCAGTACAGTCTTCATAACACATCGCTTGCCATGGTTACAAAATGGAAAATTCAAGTCAGCCCACTGTCAAAAGAAACAGGTTTTAGGCACAGTTTTAGTATATGTGATGGCTATGAATTCCTTATTTTGAAACTGGCAATAGAAACAGATCTACAGGGGAGGCCCTAGCAGAAACTCTTCTAGTAGTTTGATCTCTTTTGTGATCACCGATTTTAGATTTTTAACATTAACTGCAGCTGCATGCACTTTAACTGGTGTCACTTTAATTGATGGTAACACATAGTTTTCTTCAAATTAAGGCATTATAGTCATTACTGTCTTGAGTTCATCTATTAACTAGCTGGGTGTTAGGTGACTGAGTCAACTCATCTCAGCCACATACATTCATAGCAAGGAGCAACTGCCACCAGTTGCAGCTAGGAAGGTGGGGTTAGGTGTTAGTGCAGCAGTGGGCAGTTGCCCAGGCAGATTACAGAATCTTCATCCTCGGAGGTCTTCCAGATTTTTTTTTTGGCTAGACAGAAACATGGCTGATGTCTAGATCTAGAGTTTCCATAGTCCTTCTTCAAGCAAGAGGCTGAACTAAATTGCTTTTACAAGTCCCTTCAAACCAACATTTCTGCTATGCATACGCCTTACATCACATGGAAGCAGATTAAGAGCATTTGCACAAGCAGTAAGAGAATTAACTAAAACTATGTTTATAACTACTATTACACTCTCAGTTTCAATTCAGTGTGCAAAAGTATTTAAAATTACCTCAAACTTAAATGGAGCATATCTGAACACAATTGCCAATTAGCGGGGCAAGCAGGCTGCAGGAACAAGTGCTTATTAGAAAACAGGCCCTGAAGTCTTATACATACTTGAAAGTAGTCACACCGAGTTTCTCTGGGTAGGGGACAGGTATAAAACTGCCGGCCCTTGTTTTCTCCATCCTTTCTCACAACTCTGAGGCTGCAGAGACGGCTGTGTTTGGTGCAGCGAGGATGGCCCATGCTTAACATATGAGTATCATCTGTCACATTAGCTTGAGGTTTGCTGTAATGACAGGTTACAAAATGACTCCTGCGTAATGCTAAAGGGATTACCAACACCACAACTGAAGAACTCTCTCCTACCATTACAATATCTCACTCAGTGTACTTTTACACACAAGGACAGCCAGAGAGAACTTCTCTAATGCACCCTATTGCGCCTTTAAAGCTGAATGATTGCTAGTAGTGAATAGACAAGACTGTGCTTTTCTGCCGGTATTATACCAGTTTTCCCCAGCATTCACCCATGTTTTACATTATTTCAAAGTACTCTTAAATTAATCTGCATAACAAAATAAATATTACCACTGCTATTATATTGCCCGCCCCAAATTCCAACATATTCTAAAAGAGTATTTTGTGGGAAAAAGACCAATACTGAGTAATTACTCCAAGTTGAAGGTATTTGTATGCTTGACAGAAAAGTATCTGTTACTGTGATTGATACTGTTTCATTTCTTCTTTGCACTCCTCTGTATTCTCAATTACCCTGCCTACATCCTCAGCTCTCTGTAGTCCTCTACTGAGACAGCAAGGAAAAAGTATATCCATACAGCCTAACCTGGCTAGCAAGTAAGATCCTGTTTCAAAACTGATGCTTCCACAATGCAAGAAATTATTTCTATATACATGACCAAGAATTTTGTAGCATATCATTAATAACTTTCCCATTCACCCTGCAAAATTTACCACTGTAAGCAACATCTACCTTGTACTCCCATTTCTGTTGTTTATGCCCAAATTTTCCTTGACAACCCTAGTAGGTTCTGACATTTCTCTTAACTAAGCAACGGATGTGTCTGAACAGGTCTGTGTAAATAAAAATTCAGGATGGTTACAGCATTTAAGTAGTTATATATGGGATGGAGAAAAGGTAAGAGAAAATAGTGATGGGATGTTCACTGAGGTACCTGTACAGAGCGTTGTATTGTGGATGTTGAAAACTGAGAGCTGATAGCTGGCAGGTAACTTTAATTACAATATATTAATTCAGCTACTTTCCTTTTGCCATCTTTCACAATGACTTCCAACATCTAAGTAGGTAGCAACTACAGTGCTAAGATCAGACAATGCCTTAGGTAGAACTGTGCTCGTTGACCTATTAGAGCTACACTGTCCTATTCCATGGGAATAGCTGGACTACAAACAGCTGTTTAGTTAACAACAGTGCTGGTCAGAAGCCAAAATCAGAGTTTTCCAGTGACAGCCTAGGTCATTCAGTGGTTTTGAAATCTGAGTGTAGTTTTAGTTACCCAAGAATAAGTTACCTCTAGAAGAAATCCAAAGACAACAGTGTCTGAACCCAACAGCACAGCATTTCCTTAATCTTCAGGGATAAAGTTGGTCTATGGGATTATAAAAAAGACTTGCTTCCATTTCAGAATACATACCTGATTGATATATTAGATTGGTGAACAGAGGGTAGATGATCAGTTTTCTGTTTCTTCTGTATGTGTTTGAAAAAGAGAGGTTGCTGACAGGAGGACAAAGCCATAGCAGTTACATGTGTTGTGCAATCCTTGTCTGTGCTTCCCCCTGACTGGTAAACATTTTTTTGGATTTGATTACAATTGCTTCTTGGAGCAACACACTGAGAGTGCCCATCAGATATCTGTGTATCATTTCTCAAAACAGATTTGTTACCAAGATCGTTTAAGACAAGAGTCGTAGTTCCAAATGCAGCTTTTCTATTGATCTTTATTTCTGTGCTTGGTTTTTTGAAATCATTACAAGGGTACTTCATTAAGTTTCTGATAAGGGCTGCAGAATCTTCAACATTCTCTGTCTTTGGAACTAAAGAAAAATAAGTTATTGGTTATAATCCACCTGTGTAGAGTGACACATCATATTTCTGATCTGTATTCATAAGTCATCATACAGGTGGTGAAAGAGTAAATTTACCATACCATTTTGAAAGATCTCAAAACCTGTCATAGATTAGCTACAGTACCAAAATTCTTACAATATAAAAGCTCACGCACTTTTGGAGTCACATACAACATGTTTCAAGATAACATTTCTATTGCCTGAACAGGATCAGATGTGAATAGTATTCTGTAAATGAAAGCTATTGGAGAATTGACTGTACAAAATTTAATTTAGCCCAAATACAGGGATTAAAATATTTATTTTTTTCAAAATAACCTTCTATAACCCCAGTACTGGGAGATTGCAGCAATACATTATCCATTTTTAAAGTATTGTTTTACTATTGACACAAAAAGGAATATTCATTGTTGGGTTTTCTAGTGCCTTCAGGGTTCCCGTCCTTTCCAAACATTGTGCACATCCAAACTTAATCAGTCTTCATTGTAAGAGGCTTCAGAAGCAACCAGTTCAGACATTTACTTTGCATTTATTTCCTGACATGAACAACAGTGTTTCTTCACAGAATCAGAGGCCTGCCTAGCGGGCAATAATCATTCCAAAAAGAGCAGGCATAATTTATTAATACCAGCTTAATAAATAAGGAGTCTATGGGTAATCTTTCCTGGGAAAAGGGTGAAAATAAAACTTGAGTCCCTAAGTGCAATCTTTGTTAAGTAGCTGTGAAGCCATTAGTGTTCAAGAGAGTCCTTTCTTTTCTACCATCTCCAGTGAGTGTCTCCCTCCTACAACTTCCTTCCATACAAGGAAGAGGGAATTAAGCAGAGGAAAAACGGGGGGCACACTCTGTCCAAAGGTATTTTCACTCAGAAACGAGAATCCTCACAGTTTACTCTCAACAATACTTGTTTCCGGACTCCTTCCATTTTGCCACTGCTGCACAGTGAAACATACTAGTTCCAGTGCCTTCAGATTTGTTTAAGAAAGAATAGGAGCTTGGCCTTGTACTTAAAAAAGGAGCAAAGAAATTGAGATGTAATGGTAAATGGTTATCTCTGTGTACAGACTGTATTATTTCAGCTGTATGGCCAGCAGCTGACTTTACGCACCAAGTATTCTGTCCTCAAAAATTCAAACATTTCTGCTGACAGTAGTTAATATTAGAAACAACATAAAAGACAAAACATGAACAAAGTGAGAACGCAAGGAATCTTAAAATCTGAAAAGACAGAGGTAATCAAACCCATGTTTAAGAAAAATCTCAACACTACTCCTACGATGCAAAAATAAGTTATTTTTTTAACAAGAATTTTTGCAACAGTATTTCACCAAGTCTAACCCATCTTCACATTCCAGGCCTGTTTTCAGTAATGGCATGCAGCTAAACAAGTGAAACTTAGAAGTACAAAGGAAGGAACAGGATTTTGTTACAAAGCTTAAAATAAAGCATTTGTGCACATGCCAGTATATATTTTAAGGTCCAGCTGACAGTATTAATTCCAGGATGTTAGTTGGTAAATCTGAGTCTGTGGACAGATTGAAACTTTCAGGTTTCTAGCGCTGATTTTGCAGCGGAATTACGGAAGATTAACCTCTGCTGGCAACAAGTATCATGCAAGGCAAGAAGACTTACTTCTACTGATTCCTGGCCTGAAGAAACGGACTTTAGCTAGTCTAAGGTAAGTGTTTCACACACATCACTCCATTCATAAAAGGAGTAACTAGAATGAAGCAATACTTTAAAAAAAGCATTAGAACTTATTTTATAAGAACTGAGATCAGTACCATAAAGTCACATCTTCATGGGCTGGGAATCTGGGGGCACTTTGGAAAGTATGGCTCAAAAGCACATCAAAAGCTATGAGAACGTGGTCTTTAATTCTGATTTCAGTATATGTACTTTAAGTTATACAGTTAAATTCAGTGAACTTTTAGCAGTATGTCCTGGAGCCTACATAAAAACATTCATTCTTCTCAGATACAAAAAGCCTGTATATTGTTTATAAATATCTATTCTTTCAGTTTTGTAGCACTGGAGCTAGAAAAATAAAGAAATAATCTGTAGTATGCAGATTTCAGCCACTTCACTGAATAATTCACTACACAATGTGAATTAAGTGGAGTATTTGTTTTTGAGGTAGAAAAGTTTCAATATGGAATTGTTATAGAATTAGCTTTATCCCTGAAAAGCCACACACGTGCATACCCCTAGACTTTGTTTCTTGGAATGTATGTAGCAATTCAAAATGTTTCTGAGCAACAGTCTTGGTCAAATAATTTCCTTTAAATCCCTCCACAGAGTAATTTACTTACTTTTTCTACAGAAAGTTAAAAAGAATACAAAGCTCCTCTTCACATAGAGGACAAGCCTCAGTGGAAAGTGTGTCCACTACCTCACGCATCCCTTTTTAATATCTACATTTCTATACAGAAATCAGGAGAGAAGCTAGCATGTTACTCATTCCATCTTCCTGTCTCTTTCTAGGTCTTATTCACAGCTGCTTCTGCCCACCAGATCTAGATTGCAGCATTAAAAGCTCCAGTAAGAGGCAAACAACAAATCTGGCTAAGAAGTCCAGAATCATCCCTACTCTGAACTTGGAGGAAAAAACCTAGGCCCTGAAAAACCTGACATCCTTTTGGAAAGGGTACCAAAACACACCGGATTTGTTCACATGAAAGAATGACAATTACTTTTCTGCCCCTTGGTGATTTCTGTATCAGACACACTGCAAGCTTCTAATGATTTTAAGGAGTTGAAAGAATGGCGTTTTTGTCTCACACCTCGCCCCAATAAAAACAAAGGGTCACTGCAGAGGCTTGTCTATAGAATCCCACCTCCACACAAAGCCAGAAGAAGAAACGTTTTTAAGGTTTAAGACAAGATAGTTTTCATGATTGTCCATGTAATATTTACCCAAAATCTGACTTTAAGTTAGCTGAAGTTTTATAAACACGATTCACAATGAGAGACTTCTACAGTTCTATAGTTCCAAAAACTGCACCAAAACTGCAATCCTCCCCCCCTTCCCAGCAGAGGTTCCAGACAACCTTTCAATACCTTCAGGCCTTGAAGTCAAACAGGCATCACAAATTTCAGCAGAAGGCTTGTTTATTAGGGTACAGAGCATACACGTCCACTCCTCTTCAGATTTCTGAGCTACATGTTCATTAGAACATGACCCCCTGCCATATGCCCAGCCAATTAGGCTATTTCTAGTTGGCAGTTTGCTGTGAAACAAAAGAATGATGTTAGTCTTTTGTGACGTTTCTTCTACAAATTGCCTTACACCGCAATGTGCAGGGAGGCACAGGGCTAGAGAACAAGTAGCACACAGTGTTATGCCTGCCTAGCAGAGCTTAGACAGCATGTCATGGTTAGAGTCTGATTTATTTATTTATTTATTTTTACCTCAAGGGGAAATCTTTTCCAATGCTGCAGAAGTAATACAAATAAGAGTATTTAAACAAAACCAGAGAAAGTTAATAATTAACCGATGTATTCTCCGGTACAATGCTCCAGTCTCTCAAATTCCCTACCATTTTCAAGTACTGCAGCAAGAAACTTGGGTGAGAAAGGGATACTGTTTCAGTACTTTCCCCCCCATTCCTTGTACAGAATGCTTACTAACAAATGCATTGATAAATGAAGAACTGTTCAGAGGCCAAACTGCAGAAAGTCACACAATCCAGCAAACAATTTTTTGCCCTCATTTAAATGGCTCCCATTAGACCACTTTGTTATCATAACAGCCAACAGAACTGAAAACTTTAAAAGTCAGAAAGTCTTTCATGTGTGTCACCGTTTGCTGAAAAACCTTTTAACATTTAAGAGCCCATTAAGAACTAGGATTTTCTTTTTTTTTTTGGTGCTTTTTTCAGAAAGAATTCAGGAATGTTCTAGCTGTGACTGGTGAGCCAAAGCTGTACTCCAGACACCTCTATAGATTTAATTTTTATTTATTTTTCCATAAACTATAATACCTCTGATGTTGATAGACTAATTTAGAATCATAGTTACTATTTTATAGCCCCTACATGGTACCAAGCACTGATCTTGTTGTAGTATCCACATTGTTAGCATGTTAAATGTAACTTGAACTTACCTGTTCAGTAAGATATGTATATAAATTTTTAAGTACTGTGGTTGATAAGTCATTAAGCATTTTTCTCCATAGTTTTTGTAGAATTATGCACTTTTTGAAGACTTTTTAAAAATCCTAAGAATTTAACCACTTAAATTAATAATGCAAATGCTGTACTTGGGAACTGTTGTGACACTCCTTAGACCTATCGCTCCGTATTTACCACTCTCCTTAACAGGCTAGATTTCTAAGATAAAGGTAAGGATATCCACTACCTGCCACATATCTTCCACAACAGGAAAACTAAGGAGGATAATGAAAATTGCTGACCTACCAGAGATCCTGTGCTGTCAAGAGGTGGAACAGACATTACATCAGCATTCAGAAAAATACCGTGACTAGATAACAAAAGAGCTGAACTGGAAGTATTAAAAGTGCATATTTTCACATTATTAGACCAGTTGTTCTACTCAGCTATCAAAGATGCATTACTAGACTGAATCTATTCAGCATGTCATGTTTTTTAGTTTAAGTCCATGTGTCTCCCCAGTCCGCCCATCGTGTCGTTCCCCATCCCACTGCCTTTTAGAACATGAAATATGGGGGTAAAGTATATTTTAAAGATTCAAGGTATATTTAAATTTGATGAGGTAAGTTTATAATGGGTATTCTCTTAATTTTTTCAGTTGAGCAAAATCATAAGCTACTTAACCCAAGAACCACTGACTTAAATTCTACAGTTTATGATATGTAGCAAGTCAGTCTGATCACGGGGGCTACCTTCAGTCTTCAAACGTGAAAAGCTTAGAATGGCAGATAAACCACTTGAGCTAGACATACTTTTGTTTGGTAACAGGTACTGCATAATAGAAAACAGAGCAGTAGAACACAATTACCTGACTGTTGGGATGAGGACAGCACAAGAAGTAACCTTTTTATTTTATAGCTACCATTACCATGGTTTTTTACTGAAATATACTGTTTAATTGGTTGTTTAAAAACAACAACAACAAAACAAACACAAAACCAAACTATTACTTCTTCTAGAATGGAGAGATTTTTTTTTCCCCCCTTGCATCATTTCCCAGTTATCTGACTCAACGGAACACTGCTGTCTTCCTACCCTTCTGCAAGACATTTCTCATTATTACTTCCTAAAAATACAGCAGATTGGGGTTATCAGCATGTGAAATATTTATCTTCCATGCTGGAATTTCTGTATTTGATCTGTACTCAAAGGCGATTTTTAAGCTTTAACCAAAATCCCTTCAGCCATCTGAATCTTGCAACAAAGTTGGTGGTGGGTGAAGGATTTGTGTGTTCTGTAAATCTTAGCTAAAAGAATATATATATACACACACACTAATGAAGGCAAAGTTTGCAAAGCAAAGCAGTATTTTATGAGACTGACAGAGCTCAGTATAGAAAGGCAAGATTCTGAGACCTCAGATGAAAATTTTCAAGAATAACTTAGGGACGCAAGAGTCTGAATAAGGTGCTTTTGGAACTTTTACCTTTTGACCTTTTGTGATATCAAATACATTTTGTGCTTTTCTAAAATAAAAGGAGGAAAGCTGCTGCTAGCACAATTTATGTGGGACTGAAAGTGTCTCTGTGGCACACCTGTAGTAAAAGCTTTCCAAACCCAGTAAGGAGGAAGAAGAAAAATGTCCTAAGCCCTACAGTATTTGCTGCACTCAACTCAGTTGTGTGTAAACATTCAAGTCTGTCATATTGATAACACAAAGAATAAGGGGCATTTTTTCTAGAAGCAGTGAATACTTCTGAGAACTCTGAATTGTTTTATGATTCCTACATTTGATTAGAACAATAGCTATTACAAAGGGGTCTTTGAAAGAAATGGTGTCCAAGAATCAAAGCTTTCAACCATTTTAAAAACCAATGGCCAAAACATTTTTCTTTTGCAAGTCAAGTGAATTTAGATATAAAATACACAAGGATCTGTTCTATTTGCAAAGTTATATCCTCTTACTCTAACAGCACTTTGAGATACTTAAGCACTTTGATGTTTAAAAGTGTTATAAATTTATCATCATACCTAACATTGACAAGCTGAGGATCTGCCTTTTGACACTGAAAGCAGAAGTAAGTCATCCTGTTATCCTCTCCTAAACGACACACAGTGATCTTCCCATTGCACTGACCACAGATGGGGCGCTTGTACACCTTGTAGTGTTTGTAGAGTGGAGACCCGGTTTTGCGGCACTAAAACACAACATGTTTAAAACCCGAGTTAGAGACCCAGCATACATTTTCTGTCAGTTCTTCTACAGTTCATCTCAGGCTAAAATTAAAAAAAAAACAAAACAAAAAACAAACCAACCACAAACCTACATAAACCAACACCTCAATGACTACACAGAGATATTTAAGGCACATTCCTAAGGGCTAGCATCTGTATTTCATATTCTTTTACAAAAAGAATTTACTTTCAACCAGGTAGAATAGAATTCTCTACATAATGGAATAAAAGACATAAGACAAAAAAAACCATACTAGCATGGTGCAAGCAAACATATGTGAGGGACCCCTTGAGTTCAGCTGGACCAGCTCTCTCTCATTCAGCACCAACCATCTTTGACCTGTCACCTGCAGGAGGGTCCTTAAAGAGCTGATGAGCTCCAATCAATGTAGCATACAAAACAAAAATAAAACAAACATAAAACACAAAACCGACACCACCTTCCTTCACCCCAAAAAGAAACACAAATACACTACAGAGCCAGCTCAGACCTGATGCTACCATCTGGGTTAATCAAACTTCCCAAAACTAAAGAACTGCACAATGCAGAAATATTCCAGAGATTCTGTAGGAGTCAGGTAGCGCCCAGTAAAGTTGCTCAGCTTCACCTTAGCACTGGCCATGCCAGATAAGTTGGCTGGTGAAAAGCCACTTGGCACTATGGCAAGCTCCCCAGATCCTGGCAGAAAATTATATTAAGTACAGTACAAGCCCAAAGGGCACAGTGACCTAAAGAGCCTCCAGAGGGCTGAGAAGCAGGCACATTTCGTAAGACAATTCACATGGAGTCAGCATAGATGTACCCCAGTTAAAACTGGCAGAAAAACAAAAAACCACAAAGAAGAAAAGCCCAGTAGAGATGCAGCCAACCCTGCAGAGCCACATGAGTTTCTGCACTACAATCGCAATTCCTTGGGCCCAGTTCAAACGATACCACAGCTGGCCCAGCAATACCAGCCCAGCGCTGGCAGGGTTCAACAGCTATAGCTCCATAATGCATGAAGACCCTTGGAGTTTTCCCAGTCTTTGAGCACAGCATATTTGCTTCTGCTGTGCTCCTGTTCATCAGCCTTGCTGAATGATAATGCTTTTGCCAGTACAATCTAGTAATTAAATCAGAAGGAATTACTAATATATATTTGCATGAATATTCACAAGCAGTTTGCTTTCCCCTCGAGATGTTTCTCCCAGGTTTACAGTCAGTTTTATTAGTAGTTTCCTCCCATCTAGTTATTTCAAAACTAAACAAAAGCAACAGCCTTTTACACAAACAAGGTTCTTCATCTTTGTATCTGTAAGGTGCTACTACAAATGATACAGTATGATTACTACAAACATTCTATAACAGTTTATAAAAAATGATCACGTACTACCCCTCAACCTCTTTTTGTTACGTTTTTATCTTAAAGGGATGGGGGGGACGGTAGATCTCTTTAAAAAGCACTTGACTAGTGAATACTTGCTACATATATATTCGAAAAGTTTAAAAAATGGCTAAACTGAGCTACAGAAAGTTTAGCTTTTTGTTTATTGTCAGTCTAAAAGCCCACAACACATTTAAATCCCCTAGTTTTATAGTTGTTGCAGAACTTTATTGGTTCTCTTTACTGGTAGCCTTCATTATGAAGTTTGGAGAATTGAAAAGATTTCCCTAGTCAACAGATTAAACTACTCTTCAGTGGGTTGGGGGAAAGCAGACTTTTAAGCAGACTATTAAACAAATTACATTTTTAGCCTTTATGACTGAGAGACAGTATTAGGGAATTTAGGTAACCTCCTCCTAGCCTGCCAAAAAAAGAATTTTTACCAGCACTAGCTCCTTGCCTTTCCTGAATACCAAGAGAGCCAGACAAGAATTTCACTGCTGCTGTTCATTTCTCTGCATGCAGCTTAAAGAACAAAAACATAAAAGAATTAGGTCAAAGTATTTCTTTCTCTATTTTTGAAAGTTAAGGAGCAACCAGGAATTGAAGAGTTTACAGGGGTAGAAATGAAATCATACTGAAGTTGTGGCAGTAGGGAGAAACTGGAGTTTATTTCACTTTAGCAACCAAAAAAGTTGTTTCAGTTAGGAAACAAAGTTGTTAGAATCCATTTAGTCAAATAAATAATACCTGCTATTTCAAGTTTCATAAAGGAAGCCACACGAAATACCTTCATACTTCCCTAGGGCAATCTCAAGTTCCCAGTTTGAAGAGTGACCTTTTTGTTATCTTACATATAAGTATGTGCTCAACCTACATCAATTCTGACATGTTCATAGTGATGTTACAGCACATGCACAGCAAAACTGAACTGGCCCTCAGGCAGCATCTGTCACTTCTGCTGCATCTGGGCCAAGCTGTGCACATTCTTACAGTCTAGACATCCCCATCTTTCCATCATTTGACAATTCACAATTAATAAAAAGCACACAAACCAACATTCCTATTCATGGGAACACTTGTCCTGTTGCATGTTTTTACTGTTTTCACAAGATGATCACAAGCAGCTAAGATGCCCCAGTCAAGTTTTGGAGGTCTCTCAGAAACATGTGACAATACCTTATAAAAAAGCAGGCTAAAATCACGTGTCATTTTCACCAAGTGACGTATATGCTCATCTGTCAGTTGGCAAACCTGTGAGTAAGACAAGAATTATTTTTAGAATATTAGGATGCTAAGAGATAGCAGCAGAAAGACCTATAATGCACGGACACTTTGAACACCTTCAGCTGATGTGGAATGCTTGTGGACCTTAACCAAAAATGTAAGGTAAACAATGGTAGAAAAGCAAATTATGCCAGCTAGCAGGACAAGAAACAGAGAAAAAGCTGCAAAAATAAAATAAAATAAATTAAAAAATAAAGTAATAAAAAAATCTCCACTCTTCCGGGTAGTAACTGAACAAAGAAAACCTGAGCACTCTTCACTTTATTTATAGGCTGCCAATTTAATGGTACCACAACATGATGCCAGACTTGGATTTGAAAGTTAAATGAATTCCCTACCAAAGAAAGGTTTCAAGTTGTAAGAGAGAAGGCTTAGCCCCACCAAATACGTCCACTCTGTGAGGCAGGGGTAGCCGCAACAGGTTCCAAGGAATGCCATGACAAATATCTCCAGTTATAATGATACAAAATTAATTTAGTGTCTTAGAATAAGATAAGAAATTACAGATGATAAAACAAAGGTAAGAAGATGACAAAATGTTATAAAAATATCTATTTACATTCTTAAAACTTTAGTGTTATTAAAAACAATCTTGAGACATTTCGCCCACCTTGACAGCTGGATGGAGACCACTGTCAAACAGCGCTTCATTTTTTATTATATTTCCCACTCCAGGTAATACTGCTTGATCCAGTAACACATCACACAACATGCGTGTTTTCTGCCACTTAATCTCACTTTCTGCTCTTAGGAAGCTAAACTTTGGAGAACAGACATCCAAACTTTCCATCATTCGCACTTTCTGTTCACTCTCAGCTGCATTTCTGGAAGAGAAAAATAGATTAGAATTTAGGGTTTTTTAAATTATATGCTAATATATCAGTATGGTTTTAAAAAGAACACATGAAAGCATAATAGAACATTATAGGCAGAAAACGATAACTATGAAAATACTGGTGACAAGGAAGACGCACAGAAATTACTTTAACCACCCCCATCAAAAACAGGTCAATGATACATGCATGGAACATGCACCTGGTCCAATATACAAAAAAGCATTCTTATTCTGTCGATATTAGTTTGGAAAATGCCAGGTCCTTGCTTTAAAACTACTTCCAACATGGGAAGACCATGTGCTTGGACCACAAACCATAACTAATTGTATGTTTACATGGCCCAGTAGTTACAACATGGCAATAAAATTTATTTTCTTAAAACTTTATTTTATTAGTTTGAAAAAAAAAATACAGTACAAAAAGTCTCAGGCTTACATAAGCTTTTATGTTTTGTAATATTAACTATATACATATATGTTACTTGAATTTACATGCTCCTTTTCACCCCAGAGCCTCAAACGCTTTAACGTCAAGCTTGTTAAGTTGTTTTTATTAGCAGTGAGAAGTACAACGCTGACGGACAAAAACATCCACTTAATGTCAGTTAGAACAATTGTATCAATTTGCTTCCAAAACGAAAACAAAAAATAAAAACACAGCCTTGAGAGCACAAAAATTTGAAACTAGTAATCATCACAGTAATCCTTATTCTTGTTAAGGAAATGAAACTTGTGGGAAATTAAAGGAGCAAAGGGGTTCAGCATTCAGATCTAAGAATGGAATTAAATCCAACTTTCATTCCCAGTCTTGACACTATCTAATGAGGCTATGGCATAGAATTACTTTAAATGGATGTAAATTCTGATACAAAAATAACAAAATTAAATTACCATACCAATAAATGATATATTTAAAAAGTTGTTTTGTTTCTTTGTGTCTATGATGGCTTTCATCTAAGTGTTTAACAACTTCTGCGTGATTTTTCACTATGTTATTAAAAGAATGTTATAAAAAGAAATAAACCAAGCTGTGTTTAATTTGGTTAGTTTCTGTTTTACCTATACTCTGCTGTCACCTCAAAAAAACAAACAGTATCCTCTGTTAGCTGTATCTCCAAAACTGGTAGTGCTCCATTTCTGTCTTTGCTTCCATCAGGATTAATGCACATGGAACCATTCATACCGAAGTGAATCCTTGGAGAGAAGGAGAGTTCTTACAGGTATTTCATCTTAACAATATTCCCAAGCATCACACTGGTCTATTTTTTGAAGTTATGAACTATCCTTATTTAACCAAGTCATTATATACATACATTATTTCTAGTCATTAAGAGTAACACAGCTACAAACTACTTGCTTACATAGTGCTCAAATCCCAGAGAACCGTCCCCAAGTCAGAAACACTCCAAAACACAGCAGTTTTGCAGTGGTCTTCATAATTTATTATACAGAAGTCAAACCTGATCATTAAGCAACACACTTCTGGTATATCACAGTTAGAATTTTTTCACTTGACATGCTGGTCCTCCGACACAGGTTCTTAAGTCCTCAGAGAGGCTGAAAGAAATGAGGCTACCTTACCAGACAATTTTCTGTTAAATCAGGCAGAAGTCACCTGGTATGAAAGGAAAGATTTCAGTCCTCACATTGCCAGCACTGTTATCACATCAAAGCTACTTCCAAGAACGCCATAAACAAAGTAATTAACACCTGCCATATGTTGTTTTCTGCTTTTCTTTGCCTACAACCAAGGCAAAACCTGCAGGTCAATTAAAAATTAATAAAAGAAATAAACTGAAAAATGCACAGATGGCAAAGAAGTAGAACAGACTCTTTCAAGCATTCCTTTTACAGATCACTAATGCTTTAAGAGGTCTTACATTTTATAATATATTCTACAGGGAGCTAGTATACTTGAGCAATGGACAAGTTTGACTATGGTCTCATACATTTTATTTATTACAAGTTCACCTGGTACATTCAAGTCCTAAAAAACCACAGAGGGAGTGCCCTACTTCTACACATTGTGTATCAGAAAAGGGATTATTTTGTAGCTACAAAAAGATTCAACCCATAGAACTACACCAATGACAAGCAACATCAGGTGTATATTTCAGGAAGGATAGGCATTTTAAATATTTACCAGTAGGTTAAGACAACATCAAGAGAAGTGTGGCCAGCAGGTCAAGGGAGGTGATTCTCCCCCTGTACTCTGCTCTCATAAGGCCCCACCTGGAGTGCTGTGTCCAGCTCTGGAGCCCCCAACACAAGAAAGACCTGGACCTGTTAGAACAAGTCCAGAAGAGGGCCATGAAGCTGATCAGAGGGCTGGAGCACCTCTGCTATGAGGACAGGCTGAGAGAGTTGGGGCTGTTCAGGCTGGAAAAGAGAAGGCTCTGGGGAGACCTTAGAGCGGCCTTCCAGTACCTGAAGGGGCCTACAAGAAAGCTGGGGAGGGACTCTTTACAAAGGGAGGTAGTGATAGAACAAGGTGAAATGGCTTTAAACTGGAAGAGGGTAGGTTCAGATTAGATATTAGGAAGAAATTCTTCACTGTGAGGGTGGTGAGACACTGGAACAGGTTTCCCAGAGAAGCTGTGGATGCCCCCTCCCTGGCAGTGTTTAAGGCCAGGCTGGAAGAGGCTCTGAGCAACCTGGTCTAGTGGAAGGTGTCCCTGCTGATGGCAGGGGGGGGTTGGAACTATGATTCTATTTAAATTACTTTCAAGGGAAAATTGAAAAAAATGTAAAAATCCTCATATTTTCCAAAAAACCTTTACTTTCTTCAGTGACTTTAATGTCCTTTAAACAGGCATCAAAAAGTAGAAGTACTAATTTCTTCAGAAGGTGTCATTGCTCATTTGTACTAAAAAAAAAAAAAATCTTCTACTGCCCACCATGGATTGCAAAAACACTGAACTTCATTTGCTAATTGCTATCCACAACATGGCAATACTTCAGAAGTATCTTCCTCATTTGCAAGTCAGGCAAGCAGTAACTGTGTAAAACAATTTCATGGCTAGGTTATCTTCTCCCACCAGGCAGTCACTCTCCAGGAACATAAAATGAGTTGATAACCTTTCATGGTGAGTCTTTCACAAGACATGTCTGGCTAGTGTTATTTCAGCATGGCTACCAGCTTTTTACATGTAATCTTAACAGACAAGAAAAGCTAGTTTTGTTATGTTGAGAAACTATGTACAGATACAGAATCTGTATATCAGTAACTCTCCTCATGACAAGAAAGTCCTATACTTGATAGTTAACTTAATAAAGAAATAATACATTCTCTGAAGGCATATTCCTTATTTCCTCTCCCAGTAACAATCCTGGTAGCCAATCTTAGACTGCTGTAAGATGCATTTTCTGAAGCCTTTCTCTGCCTCCCCTCAGCACCTTTAAGATGAACAATATACATTTTTAAAACAAGAGAATAAAGATCTCCATTATCAGATAATAGGTGACTTCTGCCTCCTGTGTAAAGGAGATCTTTCTTGTACCGAACTTCTACATTTCCAGTCAAGTAAGTGACATGACTAAAGGGACTTTTTAAATACAGTTTCTAGAGCTACAGGAACTGATGAAACTTTTAAGTTTATTATCAAATGATACCAGAAGGTTGTTTTCGTTAAGTACAGTAAGTTATTGCATTGGCTAGAAAGCAGGTCAAAGGATTATATATTCCATACTAGAATTTGGCCACATTTTTTTTTCTCTTTATTTAAAGAGAACTTCTGCAAAATGGTTACTTATATTCCTTAGTAATAGCTTTTTTACTTCTGATAATATAATTGTCTGTTAAGACAATGGTTTCTTATTGTGTAATTTACTCCTTTGCTTATCCAATCAATTTCTAACACATGCAACAGTCATTTTAAAAAAGCTAACATGTGTATCAGTTACCTCTCCTGCCTTTTTTAATCTTCCTTTATAACTGACTTATCTTTTTCTTTTTAAAAACTGCTCTTACTTCTCCATTTCTATTTAATAAAGCACAATACAAAGCAAGACAAACTGATTACAACCATAATCCTATCCTTCACAAATACATTTTAAACACCTACACAGTCCTGTCCTAGTTACTTCTACGATTGTCATGTAAAGACTGGTACGAGCTTGTAAGACTAGTTGCATTTCTCTAACTCTAGAAGAAATAGCCATATAGCACTATTATCTGATAACCAGCAGGCCCCTGCTAGCAAAGATTAGTCTACACATCATCCCAGGTAATTACTCCTATATCATTGCCTTTATTTATCGAGTATGCAACCACTGTAAAACCATTGTACTTGCAGCCAAGCATTTTCAGTTCCATCTCCCTCCTGTGAAAACAGTGCCACTGGCAAAATATTATGTCACAGAATCTTAAGGTATTTGTTGATATTATCAGTTTTAAATGAATAAAAATCACGACCTTACACCTTTGTTCAAGATCAGTCACAAGGTAACAAAGACTACACTGAATGTAGAAGTGATGTTGTTTTCCTTTTTAAAGAATTAGAAAATCAAAATTATGTTGCAAGTAGAAGGCTGAAAGAAAAGCATTAAATGCAAGCCTCACTTATTCAATGTAAGAGCCTTACTTATGTATTCTATATTAATTGCCATAAGGAATTAAGATTCTTAATGATCCATTACACTGCATTTGGTTAGATTTATTTTTGGTTGACTTTGCAGTACAGAAGCATACTGAACTAGAAAAAGTAAACTAGAATCCAAGGACAACCTCTGTGGCCAATGGGTTAAAGCATATGACAAAATCCTAAACATGCCAACAAACTCCTAATAAGCTCTGCAAAGCACAAACAAACAACAATTTGGCAGTTCTACCATTTGTCTAGGAGACATGGTTTCACTGGAAAGTCAAGGTGTACATTTATGATATCCAAACCATGCACCTGCCAAATTTCAAACCATATTTCTGAACCAAGGAGTTGTTAATATTGCTTTAAGAAAGAAAACAATGCAGCATAAATGTATACACACAGAATATTTTAAGTTTGGCAATTTTTTTCCACACGAATTTATTATCAGAGCAATTGAATCATTAAAATTAAATACAGAACCTCAGACTAAATTTCTGAAGGAAAGTTAAAGAAATTGCAAGTAGTTTGTAGTAGAAGATATTAAGTAACTGCAGCCGCATGTACTTCTGAGTTTTGTCCCTAGAAAATGCAATTTCCTATTTGAAACAAAGCATTTCAAGGAATAACAGTCCTTTTAGATATCTTTACATGGAATCTTAGACTAAGAACAAAGCAGTATATTATCTGAAAATGTAAGTGAAAATATCCAGTATTTCCAGCTGCTGAGAAGATTCTCCCTAACATTAACTTTCAAATCTCAAACTGACACCAGCAAGAACAAGATGACCCCCATAGGAAGCCTTTTTCTCGTCTCTTACCTCAAAGCTTTCTGATCAAAATACATAAAAAGTTCCTTTCCCAATGTCTCCACACCCCTGTAAACATGTCCAATAAGGAAATCATGATCAGAAGTTCTCTCCTCACTTGCATCAGTCTGAAAATGAGTACACACATACACACAAAGATTAAAACAGAATTTATCCTACTTTGATTCTAGCATAGTACACATTGAGCAAATAGCTGTATGAACTGATTTTCCAACTCAGACAATATTAAACCTTTTCTCTGTCAGCAGCTCTGTCAAAACCAATAAGACTATTAACCCAGGAAACAGACACCCACTATTGCTAACGCTGTCGTAACTTAGCTCATTCTTTTCCAAATTGAAACAATACATCTTTTTTATCAGGGTATTTTATGCTTTTTCCTTCCAGTTACAAATTCACAATACGATTTTCAGGCTGATGTGAACTAAACAGGGATAGTGTGAATATTAAATACTTGTCAGAATGCCAGTTCTGCCATTTGCAACCTACATCCTTCTCCAAGTGCCTCTTACTGGAATTTCTATCCAAGCTAGTAACACGCTTTCAGTGTTTCACATGGGGCAGTGTATTACAGAAAAGCCGTAAAATTACTTCTGTACAAAGCAGAAAAATTACTGATCCCACAGATATTTCTCTGTTCCTACTAGTTGAAAGTCTAACCTCAGAAGATGTTGAACAGCAGGTGGGACAGTACTAGAGGACAAGAAAAAGATAATTGTGAGATTGAATCAATAGTCTTTTCTTGCTTAACACCTGAAACTCCACTGAAATTATAAGAAGGGACACCTACAGTTATCTGGTCCAAGTGCCTGCTCAAAGCAGGACTGACTGAGATCAGGCAGCTCAGAGCCTTGTCCAGTCAACTTCAAAGTAGCTCCAGGGACACTCTCACCTCTCTGGGTTCTTGTTCCGGGGCTTCACTATTGTTGCAATGGAAAAAAATTTCCTAATACCTAATCAGAATTTCTCCTATTATGGCCTGCATCTGCTGCCTTTCATCCTACTGTGGACCTCTGACAAGAGTCTAGCTCTATCTCCTCCACACCCCCCTTTTAGGTAGCTGAAGAGAGCAATAAAAACCCAGTTCTATGAGCCTCTCCTTGTGCATCATGTGTTTCAGCCTGCTAATCATACCAGGGGGACTCACTTCAGTATGTTATTATCTTTTTCCTAATAGCAAGTTGAAAACCAGACACTGAAATCCAGATATTGCCTCGCAACTGCTGAACAGAGATAAAATCATTCTCCTCAGGCTGCTGGCTACACTGTCACTAGCACAGGCCAGTATGGGGCTGGCCCTCTGCTTTGGAAGGGCACGAGTGACTTGCACTCAGCTGGTTTAGGACCCTAGGTCCTCTTTTATCCGTGGACCTTCCATCTCACCAGCAGCCAGGCCCATGCCATTGCATGACGTTATTCTGTTCCAAGTGTAGGACTTGGCAAGTCCTGCAAACGCTGAACTTAAGTTTCTGCCAGTCCATTTTTCTCAGCCTGTCAAGGTCCCTTTGACCAGCACTTCAAGGTCCCCAAAGGGTCCATTCAGCTCCTACTGAAACCTGCAAGGAATATATTCACTGTCATCGGAGCCCTAACCACAAGGCACAGATACGTGCCATATACCAGTGCTTCAATCACAACACTCAATTGCAATGCAAATATGTATGGAAGCGATTCTGGCAAATCAGCAAGGTTGCACCTAGTTAGTGCCATTTCAGATCTACTCTTTATACAATCTCCCACTGTATTACTACCTTGAAATGATACACATTTAGAGGGGTTTATGGTTATTATTTTGTCAAGTAGAAAAATCAGAATGTTTTTTGCATATCAACATCATTTACTTTGCTTACTATCAAAATATGAAGAAAGTAAAATTTTCCTCTCAGGCAAAGAGCTCATCTCTTCCAATAAAATTATTAAAGTCAGTGTGCAACAAGGTTTATTTTAGTTCTAAGCAACTCAAGTTTGTTTAAACTAAACCAGAGGAAGAAGTGATTGAAATGGAAAACTAACTTGTTTTTTCAAAATATTTTAAGTTAAATTCATACCACTTTAGTATCACATGAGACACAGTTGTAGTAGTATGGTTTCTCTTAAAATATTGTAGTCTTCAGCAGCGGCCAAGGCTTTGGCCATGCTTAGCAGCCTGTAGATCTGAAAGAGCCAAGACCTTGTGACGGTCATTTGTCAATGACTAGAGTCTGCCCTGAGGTGACTTCTACTGTAAAGTTTATGAACATCAGTCTATTTAAGGGAAGGAAATTTTTTTCTGAAATCATAGCAGCATACCTCCTTACTTCAAAAAGCTTAGTTCTGAAAGATATAAACCTATAAAGACTGATCTGTTGATGGCCTTAAATATATCTTGAACCACATTCTTTCTTAAATTGTTATTTAAGTACTATCTTATGAAGCCTTAATCACAAACTCTTTTATGCTGCCTTACACTTTCCCCACTGAAGGTGGAGAAAAATTCCCCAACTTTCTGCCTGAAGGCATCCAGTATACTTACCTGGGACACAATCAATGCATAATTTCTCACAGCTGAGCAAAGCCAGGCATGAAAATAAAGCCCTAGCCACCTCTGTAATCAAAACTAGACGACTGGATCTTCGCAGCTCATCGGCTAAGCCTGTTCACTGACATCTCAACTTCTCCTTCTACCAGAAGGTCGCATAAGCCCTGGCAGAGTTTTATACTGGGGAATTATTTTATGCTGCCAACAAAAAGGATAAAAACTTGTAAAAGAAATTACACACTGTGCACACCAAGAGCAGATGGCACATCTTTTATTTATTTAAATAGTTGGTTTAATTAAAATTGTTTTTTTAAAAAAAGTTACTGAATTAAAAGCTCCTTTTCTGCAGGCCAACGTATACCCTTCTCTCATCATGTTTCATTCAGACTTGTGAAAACTTACGAGATTACAAAAAAATCAAAATTATGAACTGCTACTATAATTTTCCTCGTATTGTAGGTTTCCTGAAGCTAAATGATACTTTAAAATTCACCTTAAGGGAACAAGAGCTATTCTAAAAGTTTTCCCTCATTATTTCCAACCCCCTGTATGTTTCTACAGCTTCAGCACCTCTTTACACATCCGACCTGCTATGGCTTATTTATTATGTTGATGACAAGAATATTTTTCAATTTAAAGGAAGAATAAAGACAGTATCAGCGGACACACGGCCCCACCCCGCCCCGGACGCCGCCAGCTGGGGCGCAGGAGCTCCGCCGCAGCCGGGCAAGGCGGACATGTCGGCCCCACCAACC